CCCCCCCCCCCAACACCTTATCACCTGAATCTCCTCCTAGAGCTCCATTGAGTTCTTTGTAACCAAATGTCTCTCAGAGGGGCGTGGGGAGGGGCTCCTTATTTTCATCTAAAGTAACAGACAGAGAATCAGCACTTTGGAAACAGGGCTGAAACAGAGGGGATTATGGGTAATGCTGCAACGATCTGTTTGGTGTTTCAGCCAATCAGAGACAGGCTCTGTATATATCTGAGACCTGTGATATATTGATGAGAAACAGTATGATAGGGGACCTTTAAATGTGTTTCAGGGACGCACCAGGTTCTGGTTCAGAGGGACCCGTTCGATGGGGCGATGGAGCGCATGGCTCTGGGTTTACTGGCTGGGATGGCAGCAGGGACGGCCATGAGGTCCTTCCTCTACATGCCCTTCTTCTTCTGCTGAAATGACCCCCCTCACTAACAAGGAAACACTCCATGCACCTGTTTGTGTGGGAAGAAAACCGTCTGTTTTTATATCATGTCTGCTGTAACGCTGCTCTTCTGGTTGCTCTGTCTTTATGTGCACGTTAGCATTCAACACTTGAGAAGCTGAAAACATGCTTTATAGAAACACTTAATTCCTGATAGTAAAGAACATTGGATGTACCGATGAGCATTTGAAAACGCCATGAAATTATGTTTGTAAATTTGCTGCCTGAATTTTACACTGAACAGTTTGAAAACTTGTATTCTGTGCTCGTGAATACTTTGATTTATTAAACATTTAAAAAGGGACAGTTTCTAAATCATTGGCTGGTCACACACACACCATATCACACCATGTCACAAACACCATGTCACACACACACACACACACACACACACACACACACACACACACACACACACACACACACACACACACACACACACACACACACACACACACACACACACACACACACACACTCTGCCATTGTTGCCTGTTCTTGCTAACAGTGTGAGTTAAGGGTCAGAATAGGCACCCTTCAGTTAAAGAAGACTTTGTGATGTTGAGGGCTTAGGAAAAAGGTAGACCATAAGTCGGAATCATTTGTCGAGGTCTACGGTGGATTTTGACAGAGGTGGAAGAAGCTCTCAGATCTTGTTGTAAAAGTAGAAGTACTCAGATATTTTACTTGAGTTAAAGTAGAAGTACTCAGATCTTGTACTTGAGTAAAAGTAGAAGTACTCAGATCTTGTACTTGAGTAAAAGTAGAAGTACTCAGATCTTGTACTTGAGCTAAAGTAGAAGTACTCAGATCTTGTACTTGAGTAAAAGTAGAAGTACTCAGATCTTGTACTTGAGTAAAAGTAGAAGTACTCAGATCTTGTACTTGAGTAAAAGTAGAAGTA